GGACGCGACGACGTCCGCGGCCGTCCCCCCATCCTCATCCTGCAGCGCCCCCTCCAGGGCGGAAAGGCAAGTGGAGAGGTTCACGGCCGTGGGCCGGCTCGCGCGGAGATGCGTGGCGCCCTCGAGGAGGAAGCGCCGTGCGGCTAAGGGGTCGTCTGCGAAGGTCCCCGCCGCGAGCTCCCGTTGGGCCGCGACGGCGAGGCCGAGGGCGGCGCTGACGGCGATCGCGGGGGCCCCCCGCACCCGCATCTCACGAATCGCGTCAAAGACGTCTTGCACGGTGTGGATTTCGTCGTAGACTGTCTCGAGGGGAAGCTTGCGCTGGTCCAGAAGACAAAGGGTGCCGTCGCGGTACACAATCGACTCAAGCGTGAAGTCCTCTCCCTCTTGTGCGTTTAACATGGGTGGGATGGGGTAGTCGTGTGTGTGTGTGTAAATAAGACGATAGATGTTCTGGAATAGGAAGACAGTGGGGGGAGAGAATGCTAGACCTCTAGTGAGAACGCTCAATCACAAAGAAGTCAGGCGGAGCAAAGTGCAAAAACAGTGCTATCGTATTTGACTCTACAAAAATAATCAACCCAGATGTTCCAATGGTAGGCCCCCCGCACCCAATCAAGATTTTATCGGAAAGTGAAGTAGCAGTGAACACATTAAAATTTTATTTATCTACACAAGTGTTATAAATATAAACCATTCAAGATTTTTATGAATAATTAATACAACATCTTGTGTAGTAACAGGAGGAAAAAGAAAGCAGCAAAATAAAAAGTGAGTGTATTAATCGCACTGCTCTTCAAAGTCGGAATTTTTAATCTTCCAAGCTTGGAATCGTCAATAAGATATCTTTAGTGACACTCATGATATGCTTAAATCGATCCGGCCCGAGCAGAATTCCTCCCCACCAACGAGTTACTACCACGATGAAACCATCTACTTTTAAATGATCCAGCAAAAATAACATTTTAATTGAGGCCCCCGACTCCCCATCGTCGTCGGAGTCTTGATGAAGAAGACCTTTTTTATCCATAAAGCGATATGCCCATATCGTTGGATGAGCAGCTTCCATAATATGCTTTTCATCTCGCAGAGTGTTCACCACTTGCATGGCTTCTTGAACACTCCGAACAGGCGCGAGATGCGCGAGAAACTTTGAACGACGATCCACCACAGGTTCGCCAGACAAAATTGGAATTGCAGAGCTTTCTAGGAGAATTTTTTCACGTAAAAGGGCATCTTCAGCGTCCTTTTGCTGCGCAACTAAGTTTTCCTTCTCATTTTGCCGTTCCTCACCAACTTCCTGAGCGAGGATCTGAGCCAAGTTGACAAGGTGCACGAGCATTGGGGTGCCTAGGGGAATTTCCTCCCGCATTCTCTGGTGAAGCACAGTCGAAAACACCCCCGCCAGCTGTACGTTCGGAGCGCTTTTCACAAAGAGTGTGGGATAGTTTTCTTCAAAATATCCTCCTGTTAGCGTAATCTCGAGTTCGAACTCAAAGGGCAGGTGAATTAGAAATTTTTTTTGGCAGTCCTCGCTTTGGGTACATTCCTCACCGTACATGTTGAGAAACATTTCAATTTCCTCTTCTAAGGATATCATTCTTTATGATATGAACCCTTGGCTAAGAATACTGATAAGTTCCTTGTAAATGGAAACATAAAATCAAATCAGGCTAATAACCAACCAAAAACTTTTATTAAATCTATAATTTTTGTAATGGAGAAGAGAAGCGAACCTTTTGTTTGAATAACACAATGAGGATGTTGGTACATTATTTCCATTTTTTTCAGTTTCCTCAATAGTGTTTAATATGCAAAGATATAGGATTTTTTCTTTGTGTGTGTGTGTGTGAGAGGAGGGGGGGGGGGG